GGGGGGTGGAACATTAATTACTCTTTCAAAGTCACTCCAATTCTGATTTCTTTTCACTATGATGCTGAAGATTATGCAGATCCTCAAAGAAAAGAAAGTGCAATCATAGTGCAAACTATTTCACAAACTGGAGGATCATACTGCCCAAGTTACCTCAAGTACTACGGGGTGTGCGATAGACTTACCTCCACGCGGTACACCCTGGGTAACGTATACTCATACGGCAAAAAAGTCTATTAACCGGCAGTTGACTTCTCACTTCAAACTACCAAGACCCCACTGCATTTCATATTTGACTAATTCCACAGTACTCGCCTCACCTTTTTTCTACCTTTGTCTGCCTGTCTCATTTACGTCTGTGAATCATTATTCTGTCCCCCTCTCGACTTTTATTCACTTCGGTGTTCCTCTTCCTTTCTGTGAAGACCGAAGTCAACTAAAGGGCTAATGATACCTATCATAACGCCTGCCATTTGAAATATATATATATATATATACCTCAAGTACTACAGAGAGATAATAGAAGAAACACAATCAATCCAAATGTCATTTCCGATCGTGGAATGTATTTTGAGTGAAATTTATTGCAAACGGATAAACATAACCAAGTTCCACAATGATGGAAAAAAACATTAGCACATTTTCCTCGCTTTGAGCTTAGTAACGAGCAAATAAATCTCCATCCTTTCTTAATTATAATCTTTTAAACATATTCCCGTTTTCTTGAGTAGTAAAAGTTTTGTAAATAAGCAAACATTTACAGCTTTCACTCTGTCTGGTACTAATATTCTACTTTAATAATTGATCGTTTTGGAATTTTACCATTGTCATTATGCGCAGGAAAGTAAAATTGGCATTTTTGTCGTTTGGATAAACGTAATGAGCCATGGTGCAAGTGAAATAAGGAAAGAGAGGAGAGAATAGGAAAGGAGAATAAATCTTAAGACGGGGTTTTCAATTAAGATGGAATAAATAAGTAATTTGAAACCCCGACACCTAGAACACATAAGTGTAAGAGACCAAAGGCCAATTTAGTGATTAAGATGTAAGACACTTACCAGTTTCTCGATATGCATTTGTTTTATGTTATCAATCTGCTTATCAGTTGCCGCTTGTCGTTCAGCAAAATTCCTTTTCTCCAATTTGTTTTTCATCTGAATGTCACAGAGATATTAGCTTATCCGACTCATATGATCGAATGTAGGTTTGACCTTTTCACATCACTTACCTCCTTGTCCAATTGGCTGCGAAGTTCTCCCAATTCCTTGTGAGCGCAAGTGAGATTATCGCGCATCTTATCCATCTCCTCAGTAAGATTCTGCGATCTTTGCTCTGAGAGCATTCCAATGCGATTAACCTGGGCTTTGCTCTTATTTCGCTCTTCCTCAATAGCTTGTGTCTGCGGGGTAAAATACTTGTTATTCCAAAATACAAGAAATCATTAATCATTTTCCAGTCTCTTATAAAGATATCGTATAAATATAGCTCAACACTCAGTAGGCGTGAACAAGCTCTATTGATTATAGTAAGCATGATATTATGAGGGCGGTGTACCCATTTTAGCATATATCCACGTAGTCTAGACCTATGTGTACGTGATTGAAGTGATCTGTGCCACTTTGACCATGACTCTCTCTCCCTCTCTGTCATTTGCAACATTTCTGATCAGTTTTAGATATTAGCTGGCTTTAATCATTGATTATTTTGAAATTTATTTTACATTCCAGGCTTTGAAAATATTTAATTTCTGTTGTTAGTCAGTGATTTTCAAACAGGCTTATGGAGAGTTGACTTACAATGTGGGAGGGCTCCTTTACTTAAATCACTAGTCGATGCTCAGATGAACAAAATTTTTCTTCTACTATTCAACGAAGAACCGCTGATTGATCATACTTCCATTGCTATTTATTTCTTGTTTATTTTTCTTTAGGTGGTTAAAGCAGTACACTAAGTACCTTGAAAGATTTCGAAATCTACAGAACTACCTACTCTCAATAAAATTCGAAAATCTGCGTCGTGTACAGTTTTTCATAGTATATCGAAGTCTACAAATAGACATATCACTTCACGGCCAATAACGCATGAATTTATGTTCTAATTGGCTAGACTTCATGATTCTGGTGACTCGTCATTTCTAATCAGAGAGGGTTGTGACCCATCCACCACTTTCCGCACTTCTAATCAGTAACAGACACACAGGTAGAGTCTTAGACGAGTTTTGCCAGTGATTAAGCACACTTCTTTTAGTGAAGTGAAGAGTTCGCGTTTAGATTGGTAAAAGTTAAGGCTGACAGCAAAAAATGTGAGCATTTAAAAGATAAATGGAATTCTTGATGTCTGAAACTGTAAATTATTTTTATCTATCAGGCAAGCGTTGAAGTGATGTTTAACTTAAGCTGATAAATTACCATAATGAGGATTTCGACTGATTATGCAATATTTTGACCTTTAGTAGTTGTAGCAAATGGATCACAAAATTACTCCTAATTTCATTAGGAAAAGCGGTTGCAGTGCTTAATTTGGATAGAGGGGTCCAACTTGAAACTGCTCAAATGAGCAATTCGCATTCTACCACCTTTTATTTAAGGAATTAACTAGAACGATTGATCACCGATGAATATTAATCTCGTGACCTCAAACATGGTGGGTGTGTATATTGACCACAACTCAACCGTTGCACCCAAAGTAATTTGATAATGCTCAGCTTGTATTGGAGGAATGGCACCACAGCGAGTCTCTGATGACCTCGAATGCCCTTATTATTTTCTTGACCTAGTCAATGCGGTTCACATTTCCATTTACTGATTATTAACCGATAGACGTCAAATCCGTACACTCTGATTTCTCGTTCAAGCTCGTTAGCAGCTGCGCTATACACACAATTGAAACGAAGAATATCAACCTAAATACCTGTTTTTCAAATATGTTGCGAAGTGTACTTTCCTTCCAAGCGTATACGGTTTTAAGACGAAGCATCATTTGCTGAAGGTGGATATTCTTCTGGTGAATGTGGTTTATTTCCTGTGAGAGACGGTTGTTCCTTTCAGTCAATTCATCTTCTATAAATAGAAAATAAAAAGGCAATATTATTATCAAATAAGGAAAATCCATTCAATAAGTTAAAATTTCCCATAAACACCGCTGGAATATCAATTTATACGAGTTCTGTATGGGATATGGACAGGAAAGAAGGGTATTTTTAAGATTACCGCTAAAATCACTGAAACGCTTCCACACATATGTTGTCGTTTTACAAATTATTTGAGATCCAATCAAAAGGCTATTCTGCAAAGCGAATGGGATTTCGCCTTCAATAATGCCGAGAATAGGAAACAACAAAGGCTTCAAAGATTCAAACAAACAATTTTATCAGCTCCATATTTAATTTATAATTGATCAAAAATTTCCTTATATGGTATTCTTTAAAGACAATGATTAATTAGTTCACAGAGTCTTTTATTTTAGATTTAAGTAACGTAAGAGAATACATCATAATGTATGTAATAGAGACTTGAAACCATGCGTTGACCAATGAGAATTTTAAAATTTGGATCGAACAAATTAGTTGTAAGGAGACGTAATCGAATATTTTCGACACTCACTAGTGAAATTCGTATGATTCATCCCTTCTGTACCAACTTATCGCTTGTTGAATTTATTTATTATTTAAAATAATTACCAAAGAAAATTTTTCAGCAAGTACTGGTTAAATCTTGAACCCACTGGAGTTTCACGAAGTTAGAGTGTTTTATTTACTTAGCTTAGGATCTTCACTCAATATCCACTACAAGAAGTGCGTCGTCATTGTTATAGAAATCGCATGAAATCGATATTAAGATATAAAGGGGAGAAATGTGCGGATTACCGGCTGAGCTTATAGCACCGCTCTTCTCCTTAATGCGTTCCATCTCCGTTGCTGTTTCACCACGAATCTCTGAGATGCGTTTGAGAGTGATGATGTGAAGATTGTTGCGATATTCATCAATGCGTGCCTTCTGTTCGAAGGAGAGCGCAAAGAGTTGACGCATCGCTGAACTGAACTCTCTACGGACTTGGTCACGAATTCTCGCTTCTGATCGTGATTGTTGTTCATTAATTTCAGCTAACTTTGTTCGAAGGGCTGTCACCTCTGTTATAAATTAAAACGGAAAGCCGATTTCAGAAAGAATGTATGTTTGGAAATAAGTTATTTATAACGCAACAATTATGTCGATGGTGGAGTGGGTGCACTCACTATTATCTGTATTCGCTTATCATTTCATTCATAAATGCAATTTACCTCAAGTTAGCATTCACTTAATTTACATGCTATATTGGCACTTGATTGGAACGTTGCCGGTGTTATCCCACATAATTTGAAAGTGACTCATTAAAGTATGAGAGTAATACTCTTCCAGGTAAGAACTGAAATAACTGCCAAGCTAACACATGATTATGAACGGTTAAAGAATATTTTGGTTTCCTTAACGTTATTATTAAAAATAAAGCATATGCCTTAAATTCTTCTAAATGAGATTTTAAAAATCGTATTATACTGAACATAGTTTTAGTAGAATTGCCATAAGTTTTGGCTAAAATGACGAGAACTTGAGTAATTGAATCGGATTGGAGATATACCGTAGTAACCATGGCATACACTTTCAGTCCTTTATTGTTATTCTCCATTAACTTCTATTTCTAAATAAGTTTGATTAGAATAAATATATAATGATTTGGCCAGATTTCCCAATGCTAGCAATTATCGACGTCAACCACCGTGTCCTATCTTTCTTTTACAAATTCGAATATGCGCGGGTAGACAGAACCAAGGCGGTCAATGGAGAGAGTGGTAATATAATACCAGGTATTTTTCGTCCAATGGTGCCTATGATTAGTCTTACCTCCATTGTTGTCTATTTTAATAGGACAAGAGATATTTTGACAACGTTGCTGCCTCCTTTTTCATGAACTATGAGAGCCAGAAAGATACATGAATTAAAATTTTTTCGAGATATCAAGGTTACTGATGAAAATTGATGATCAATGTTTGAACATTCTGGAGTAGTATTTCTTACCAAGAAGAAGATTGTGAGCCTGCTCGGACATTCGAAATTGAACGTTAATATCTTCCTCCAGCTCCATTTGTTTCAACTGTTCTCGAAGACTCAATACTTCTCGCTCTCGCGAGTAGAGCAGCATATGTTGATTCTTTAGCAAGTTTTCATAATACATCGCGTAACTATTTTAGTATTGAAATATACTGGCTTGAAATTAATTGTAATTAGCACAAAATATTACAACTAAATTGTTTTTACTGTTCATAAGCCTCTCTTTGCATCCTCATCACGCTAATTGCAACGTTTTGGATAACTTCGTTGAGATAATCCGTATCAAAAGTGATCTCCTTCTGCTCCGTATCCTCACGAGCTCCACTCATCAGATTCTCAAGAAACTCATCTACCAGTGCAGGTCTTGGAACAGTCAGCGATTCTTTCATGGCCTAGTTTGTATGAATACTTGGATAACATTCTTTAAAATGGATAAATGATCATCTATGTGGAACCTACGGGCTTCTTCCAAAGGTCAAGAGGAAGGTTTCCTTCTTCTCTATTTCTCTCTTTTATCACTAGATCAATCTGCCTTAACAGGGCCTTCCGAATATCCCCAATCATATAGTTCTCGAAAGATTCAATCAATTTCACGAGCTTTAAAGTGAGAAAAATGAATTACAGCCAATCATATTCCTCAGAATAGACTACTTAATTAAACTAACCTGACGCTGTAAGATAACGATTTCAGGAATGCCCTTTGGAGAAATCTGAACATCACTTTCTTGATATGGTCCGAGTGCATACAGTTCAGGCTGTTTGTATTGGATAGAGAGACTTCGTAGTATTGGGATTAGGCGTTCATTACGGTAAACTTGACTGAATAACAGAAGACAAAGGATGTCGATACCAATCTAAACTCCTATTTAATTCATTATCAAAGAAACTTACACGAAAAGCTTGAAGTCGGCAGGCGTACTGATGTCTTCCAAGCCTAGTCGACGTTTACCCCACTCACGCTTCATCAACTCAACTCGTTTGCGCAGAATGAGATACTTTTTGATAAGAGCATAGGCTGCCATAGGCGTCTCAGTCAAACTTAACTTCAATTCTTCGTTCGCTAGATTTGCAGAGGGCATAAGAATATAAATACTAGGCGTGAAGTCACACGTGGAGCTTTACAACGCTGTTTCATCACAGAATTGTACTATCACTTGCAATTAAAGGCTACAGATTGACCATTTTGGGAAACAAAAATTTTCCTACCTGTCAGAAAATAAATAGATAGTATACTTTATAGTTCTAAAAGCTGAAGATTTCACTTTTCTCTCCATAATATTGTACAGCGTTCTAATTCAAAACAAATTTAAGTATCGGTAATATATGGTTAGATTATCTTTCATGCGTTCAGAAAGTTGAATTTGGTTTTAAGTTTTAAAAAGATAAAATGCCACTCTTTCAATTCACTCAAGCTCGTTAAAGTAACTAAAGGTAAGAATGAAGTGTTGAATTATTAGGACTGAGTAGTAGCCAGTTGTGATTCAGTGATGGCCTGATGTTGAGAAAGCAAATCTACTAACTCAGGATCGCGTATATGACAGATGATTGGCTACCCGACTGGCCAATAACTGGGGTGAGGGTTTCTTCACTGGTGGTCATACGTATGCTGGTGTGAGGGCAGAAATCCAATAATCGATAATGTAATGCACTACAGATGAAGCTTCTTAGTTCTTTCTGGATGAATCAAAGTTATTCAATTAGGCCAACTAATACTATTATTACTCAAAGTAGAGCAAAAACTACAATTTTTAGTCATAGAAAATGGCGAAGCTGGTAATGAAAGTAAAAATTCCTTAATATTTACAAAGAAAAAAAGTGAAACCGCAGACAGTTTTGTACATTCGTTTCGTATTGATTAAGATTTGAAGAGTGGAATACACCTACAAGCTCCTTATCAATTCTATTATTATAAGTTACACACTACACATTACATTCGCCATGTTTGAAAATATTTTATAAGTTGGGGGATAACTTTACTCCTCTATTTGGATTGAGTTGATCAATTCATATTTCCAAAAAGATTAGTCAAATTTGGTTTCACATCGATTAAAGAAGACTAACGAAGGATACATAAACATTATGCTTTTTCTGCGAACTTTCATAAATTGCTTACACGATGCATCAGCACGTAAAATTTGCACAGTTTCTGCTATTGATTGACCTCCATCTTCAGTTTTGGTCTCATTATCATCTTTACCAGTTGCAACGGTATTATTAACAGCAGTAATCGTTGGTGGGGCAATTTCCTTTCGTTTATTCCTGAATCTTCGACCAAGAAGGTAATGCAGATTCTCGTAGTTCTCAAGTAACAACGGCTGTCCTGCTTCTGATTCGGGAAGATCGCCATTCTCGAGAACATCTTCAAGAGCTAGCATCATAGATAGCAGTTCACCATGAACTGTTGGTCTAATTAACATCGAAACGAAAATGCGTAACATTCCTGAGGATGATTCTTATCATTAATGCAATAACAACTGACTTATCAACAGGTCTAAGACCAGCCAAACAGAGACGAAGGTTGTACTCAATGCTTGACAATCTGGGATACTGAATGGTGAATGGGCCGGAGGTATGGAGGAAGGAGAGCCAAGGGAAGAGCTGACGAGCTTTTTCATCAAATGGTAACAGAGGTTCTGGAATTGGAAAATCCAAAGCCTCCAAACTCGGTTTACACTGATTGCTCATTTCCGCCAATGGATATTGACTGCCGGCCACAAGTTCCTAGAGGAATGCATAGAACAATATGGAAGGATACATTATTTGACATTAAGGTGGATGAAAAGTTAAGAAATACGCCTTCCATTGAAATAGAGAACACTAAGGAAGTGACGCAATTCCCTACACAATGAAATTGGCAATGACGAGATATAAAGTACCAGAGGCTTGAATTTAATCGAGAAAAAACGGCTGTTGAGGTTACATCTATGGCCAGAAACTTACTTCTTAATATGATTACCCTGCTTTTTCTCTCTAACTTAATCACAAATTTCCACATTTTTCGAAATTGGTTTTCAAATTGTCGATTTTACCTCCAGCAGTCTTCTGTCCTACTTACTACTTACGAGGTGAATCTCTTCTTCACTTCTCTCCAAACGCAACTAACCATTTACAACTGCTATAACGGCGTTGGTTTGCTTAAATGATAGAAAGCCAACCCTTTAAGCATGAGGCTTCACAATCTGGATGAGTAGTTCTCGTAAATGATCAATAAATTCCCCAATCATTCTTGTTAAAAGGCGGGCGTACGCCAATATCGACAATTTAGTAGTTATTGGTATAAAACTGTTAACTGTCCGGCGGTGGCTCGACTTTCAACATCAATAGTATAAAGATGTCTTTCCTAATTTTCATGAACTCTGTTGAAGTAATAAAGTAACTGATGAGAGTGACTTCACTTCCTGCTTTTCTCTTCCTTCTGGATTAAGTCAACTGCTGTCAGAGGGGGGGGGACTAGACTTATCAGAAATATATTAGGGGCAAATGAACCTTACTCGATAGGCGTGCTCATTCCCATTAGCCAGGAACGTTTCACTGAGAACACTGGAGAGGCAGACATCCAGAATGAGGAACATATACTCCCGTCGAGCATTCAACAACTCAATTACTTTATCGGCATTCTGAGGATCTGGGAGGAGGTTAATTTGAACTTGGATTTCGCGCAGTTGCCGAGCTAAAATGAACCAACTCAAAAATTTAATCAAGATTGAAGTCGCTATCGCTTTATCAACCTTAACCATTGGGGTATATCTCAATTTTAGGAATATTTAAATAAGAAATTTAAATTTACCCAAATTTGACATTGGACCGCCATCAAAAGAGCTCATTTCGTCTGAAATTGAAATAGTAAATTTATTTGAACTAATTTTGTATATTTAAGAAATACGGTTACATGGGGGAATTTAACGAAATGTACTATTTAAATTTTATTCAAAAGTCACCTAAATGAAAATTCGTTCAAAAATTAGCCACGAATAAGAATTTCCTTCTACTCGAAATGCTGTTTATTGCCTTTAAACATTTAATGCAATCCCAATAAGCACAATTTTAATACTCCCTTACACATATTTTTAAAACAATAATTGTAGGTTTATCAATTGAGAAAAGCTTAGCTGACCAACAACTTGATCAATGAGTAGACTTTGCCCATTACGCATCACGAAACCCTTGGGAGTAATGGAAGTTGCGGGCTGTTTGTTAATTTGCGCCAAGAAGTCTTTCGATCCGGCTACAAGTTGGCTAGCTGCTGGACCAGTGGCCATTTCATTGGCTGCCAATTGATTGGCGTACTCCATTGAGGTAGTGGGATGTAACTTGTGAACCATTGTATCCACAGTCTACAAAAATGTAGATAACCACAGAATCAAGTTTCATAAGGAACTCCAAGTTGCCTAATAACTGCTATTTGAGGGACTCTCTTCTCATTACTTCACATTTTATTGTTTACTAAGTATCCATTTTTAATTATTTCGCTACAACAACTTTGAGATCTCCAACTCCATGAACCAGTAAACTCTACACTCACAACGAATAAATTCCATCGTGAATCTCCAATATTCGTAAATTTTAGTGGTACTTTATGTCATTGAATAAGTATATAAACGCATACATCTAGAACAAATTTGAAGCGACGCTTTCAAACAAACTTATCGCCCACTATTTTCCAATCAGAATTCCTTGTTTCTGTAAATAAATCAATAAAAAACGAGTTCCTATAATTTTGTTTGTGCTTCCATTTGCTAAACGGAATGTCCGCAGTACCAATCACTTCAACCTAAAGCCTACTATGTCTAAACTCTAACCTCAAAGTCACTCAATTATCAGTTTAGTTGTGCCAAACGTAAAAAGTCGGGAAAGAGATTAAACAATAAATAAACTTAATATAAATAAATACAAATAATAAAAATAGAAAGGAATTACACGAACGAAAGAAAAAAAAACTGTTTTGTATGATACCGCAACAAGTTTAGTTATCGCAAGTAATGGTCAGATAACCAACCTAGCCAAACTAACCAGCCTGTAGAAGTTAGAGGAGGGAATTATCAAAAAGATCCCCATTGACACGATCTGATGATACATCGAAATCTATATCAGTTTACTAGCATATTCCCCATTAATTTTCTTACTCATTCATAAAACGTTTGAAATACTCTGTTTAGAGTAAGTAGGCTCCGATCTAAGTATAAACAGGCTCTATCGAACTAAACATTTGTGATAAGCATTTGTGCAAAATATTAGTCCTAACGTGGTAAGTGTTTACTAACGGAGTTTTACCTGGACTTACAAAAAAACTGAAATGGGAGTCTTGTTTAAATTATATTCCCTCCTATTGGTACCTATTTACCTTGCTAGCCATAGCATAAATCTGCTCCCTCTGTTCAGTCGATATCCTCGAAGCATTGATGCCAAGACGGGCGAAAGTCACAAGATAATGGACAATATCATGCAAAGCACCGGCAACACGACACATTGACCTCAACGCACGGGTTGCCTCGTCATCATCCAATTGGCGGAACACGAAGAGGACCTCAATAAAGTGGGGAATGAACCAGAGATTGTAAAACCGCTTGCCATCCATTGAGAGCACTCGACGAACGCGTTTGTGTAATTCTCGGGGATCGGATTTTGCCATTTCTGCGTCGTCGTCTTGGCCCTTCTTCTCAAACATTGTACCAATTGTAAAGAACTCGTTGCTAAAGGCAATCATACGTTTTAAAGACTTTGATATATCATATTTGGGAAATCTCCCCCCCTCCCCCCCCAATAGGCTATCGCTTACCAGATGTTTGGAACTGTCTTTAGAATTTTGAGAAGGGAGGCGTAGAGAGCGATGATTTGAGCCCTGAGAGCAGCTTGTTGTGCTCTTTTACTATAGTCGTCACAAAATTGGGCGATCAGACCCCTGAAATGGAAGTAGGGGAATTTAAAATGGAATACTTGTTGTTGTGGACAATTAATGGTCAATAGCTAATATCCCTCCTTTGATATACCAGAACAAACAAGAATTTGTTGTGACTTTATTCTCTACTTATGTTGAATTGAAATCAATAATTATTTCTACGATTTTCACCAATTCCTCGTCCATTTTCTAAAAATATATTCTTAGGATTTCAACCAAATGCTTGCAGGATTGCCCCCTTCCAGTCTCCCCAAATGAAGTTATTCGGGTTCTGGCTCTTCGTACCTACTTTATTTCTATCGAGTTAATCCAGCTGCTAGGGCGCTTAATTTTACTCCCTCCTATAAGTCTCTCTTTTTTAGTCGGATTATTATTTGTAAAGAAGTAAGTTAAGGCCGTGTTAGAGTTCTCTCAAAAATCTTTATCAGCTTTACTTATTGAGGGATTCATGGACCACCAAAAACTCCCATCTAACAGTCATTCTTCATGTAGAGTCACTGTCCACATGACAGATGTTCGTTGAGACACGAAGATGCATGTGGTTGATTACTTTCAATGGACAAGAATATCCTATTGACTAACCTCCAGGTGGTGCACCCTGGGCAACGTATACTCATACGGCAAAAAAGTCTATTAACCGGCAGTTGACTTCTCACTTCAAACTACCATGGCCCCACTGTATGTCACATTCGGCCACTTCCACAATACTCACCTAACCTTTTTTCGACTTTCATCTTTGATGCTCCTTCCCCTCTGTGAAGCCTGAAGTCAACTAAGAGGCTAATGATAATTATCAAAACGCCTGAAATTTGATATAAATAAATATTCTATCTGTCCTCTTAGGTAATGGTAACCAAAGCAATATACCACAATTTGATCAAGTCAAGATGGGTTATTTTAGAAATCGGTTGCTAACTAATTCGGAGTTTCTAATAACTATGGAAATCGCGTGACAGATTTTGATATTTGGCCATCAGTTCATATAAATTACTGCAAGCCACATAAGAATATACCTCACCGTTTTAGCTTTTCACTTTCATTCGAAGATCCACTCTTCGACTTTGTCATCCCCTGAATTTTTTTTGCATATGCGTTCATAACACGATCTCTGCAGATACTCTACAAGTAGGAAGTATAAGGAAAAGAACCATAGCGTAAGAGATGTTTCAGCCTATTTCCAGCCTATTATCACACCCACCTTCTCTAGTTGAATTGAGA